ACAAATGATGGGGCTTCCTCCATGCTAGATAACCTAACCTCTTTACAAGTCGCTACATGTACTAGCTATAACTGGGCACACATTTCTGTCCTCTGTCAGAAATCTTCCTCTTTTCTGTCATAACAAATCCTTATGAAATCCTGGATGGAGCCTATAACCATTTTTTAACCAATTTGTCTGAATCAATTCAAGTTAAACATATCGTCTGTCTCTCCTTCTTTGGACTCTTGAAAATACGTTGTCTGCAATTATTACAAAGAACAATAAAATCATTTAGTATATTGAAAGCGAAAAATCAGGATAAAGCAACGCCATAAATCGAGGCATAAAGTTTTTTCCTGGGTCAAAACTTAAGATTCCTTCTGCAAGCCCCTTCCCTAGATGATTGATATTGTGAGGGGTATGAAAGTTCCTTAAGACTGGGTGCAGTGGCTCATGCCTGTAATCCCAGCACTTTGGGAAGCCCAGGTGGGTGGATCACCGGAAGTCAGGAGATCAGCCTGACCAACATGGTGAAACCCTGTCTCTAGTACAAATACAAAAATTAGCTGGGTGTGGTGGTGAGTGACTGTAGCCCCAGCTACTTGGGAGGCTGAGGCAAGAGAATTGCTTGAACTGGAGGCAGAGGTTGCAGTGAGCCGAGATTTGCGTCACTGCACCCCAGTCTGGGCAACAAAGTGAGACCCTGTCTCAAAAAAAAAAAAGAAAAGAAAAAAGAAAGTTCCTTAAGATTCCTTCTGCAAGCCCCTTCACTAGATGATTGATATGGTGCGGGGTATGGTGAGGTAAGATGAAAGAAAGTTCCTGCTGTCAAAAGAAAAATACCAAGTATAATAAGAAAGGAATAAGTGCGAAATAATTAAATATTGGTTATATTGTATTGTAACCAATATTCTATATTCTGTGATGGTTCTAACAGAGTATGTGGAAAATAAAATAAAGTGATACTTTTAACGCTGAAATTGGAATAAGCCTCTCAAGTATTACAGAATTTAAAGAACAAAAACACACCACTCCAATTAGGATAACAAAACAACATTCCTTTTTATGAGTTTGTTCTATTGGTGACCACTAAGCAAACGAGGATTAAATCAATCCTATTAATGGCAATTTATGTAATTGTACAAGTAAATCATTTGATATGCTTTTATTTTAAAGCTTAACATATTTAAGAAAATAATATTTTATGGGAATTGAATTTCTTTGGAAATAAACCATAAAAATACTAATAAGCAGCAACAATAAGTATGACATCTAACACTTTTTGAGCACTTACTATGAGCCATCTGTTGTTCTAAGGGCTGTTTTACACATACTAAACCATTAACTTTACAACTACCCTATAAAGTAAGTACAATATTGTATTAGCTCCATTTTATAGATGAGACTCTGAGGCACAGAAAGGCAGTGTAACCAGTATCCTGAGTACCATCTAAATACAGAAATGGATCTTTTGTTTCATTTTGTTTTTTACGGTAGTCACCACTTCTCTGTGGTTTCACTTCCCACAGTTTCAATTACCTACAGAAAACCACAGGCCGAAAATAGGTGAGTATAGCACAATAAGGGATTTTGAAAAAGATGGCATTTACATGTTTGTTATAATATAATTGTTTTATTTTACTATTAGTTATTGTTATTATCTTACTGAGCCTAATTTATCAATTGAATTTTATCCTATAGTTACCTATACCTAGGAAAAAACATGGTCCATATCAGGTTTGGTTCTCCATAGTTTCAGCAACCACTGAAGGTCTTGGAACATATTCCCTGTGGATAAGTAGGGTGATGGGACTACTGTACTTTCCTAGATGAAGACTGTAACTAAGAAGAATGAAAACAGGTTTGTTGCCAAAACATCTTTTTGCATGTCCACATGCACTAAAGCTATAGGAAAATATACTCAATTATAACAATCATTACATCAAATAATCTCATTAAGAATAGTTAATATCCATGCCATTTAGCACTTGTTGTCTTGGTACTGTGTTAAACACTGTCTTAACACATTCCTGAGGAAATATAAAACAATCCATGACAGAAAATTCCATGACTGACTGAAGCTCGTGTACAATCTCTGCAGTGGAACTAGAGGGTTATTTATGGAATTCCAGTTTTCACTGTGTATCACTGAAGGCTGGATGGTTTCTGCATATGCCAATTTCTCCCAACTAGAAGGGAAGAGAATAAGGGGACTATGTAAGGTCTTAGATATAACCAGAGTTCAGGAATTTATGTTTACCTTTCCCATTTAGGTTTCCAAAACAACCATAGCAGACATCACTGGAAGGGTCAGTTTCTGGAAGCACTGGGAAAGAAAGCTATGAGATGGGTGTCTGGATAGAAAGCAGACTGCTGAGAATTAAGGCTACTAAGAAACTTTAGCCTCCTGAAAACCACTGCTCAAATCTTGCATTATTTATTTGATACACAGCTCATAGATTTGTACCGTGTGCTTAGCAGATGAAAGAATGATACAAAATAGTATACATCCTAGTGTTTGACCTCCTAAGAAAAAGGGGTAACCAATGGATTACTAGACAACTGTCCTAGGAAGCAGTCACATCCAAAATCTGGAGAAACTCATCAACCTGTAAAAGCACCTGCTGAATTCCAAAATCAGTTTCGAAGGTTATGATAAATGGAAATTCTCTAATATGTTTGTTATGTTTAAGAAAATGGACCTCTGAAATAAGAAAATTACTAGGATATGGGTAAAAATATATCTACTTACTTTTCTCTACAAGAAACCAAAAAATGAAAACAATAACTATATTACTAATTGTTATGTAGCTAGAGAAATTCATATCATATGTAGGTGAGTGACCTGAGAAAATTTTCCTGCCATACCATGAAATGGTCAGTACTTATTAGAAAAGCAAATAGTTGTGCCCAGTAACATATACAATTGATCAATGTTGTTTACATTCCATATAATTCTGTCTCTAGATTTTGAAGGATTTTCACAAGGAGAAATTTTTTCTGCCATAACACAACATTTAGCTAAATTCCAGGTATATTAATAGCTTATATATGATCTATTAAGAGAGAGGAAAGGCACTAACATTTCCTCAGACCCTCCTAAGTAGAGGTACTATGGCAGATGCTACATGCAAATCTCATTAGCTCCATGTATTACAGGATCACTGTCCCTGTGACTGTACAATGTATGCATTGATCTTCCTTTAAGAATACTATTTTCCTCAATTATCTAACACTTGAAGAAAGATAAGAGAGAAAAAGACATATCTTACTTGTGAAAGCCCTTTAGAGATTCCAAAGTTAAGTTTCAACACTTCATATGAAGTGAGTCTGAGATGAAGAATTGAATACTGTACCATCACAATTATGCAGTTGAGCTTTTACTATTTGAAGAAGGCATTTCTGGTCTTAAAAGTTTAAAAAGAGAAGAATAAAGAAAAAATCCAGCACTGTGATGGAATTAGCACAAAAGAATCAGAAAAAGAATGAACTAACAATTAATTCCCATTGGTACAAGCAGTACAACAACAGGTGGTACAAAAGTACAGGGCCAGGTACTTTTGGTATGAGAAAGCAAAGCGATAGTGTCATCCGGGTACACTTCTCCAAATATGCAAGGATATCTTTGGTTACATGTAAATTATTCAATTAAATGCTTGCTGAAATCCTTTGTCATGGCTTCTATCAGGAAGTGAACCTTTTAAGGATAGGTATATTTACCCATAAATGATCCAGTGGGTTTTCCCTCAATGCTAGGAACCACTTAACAGTGAGTCAAAGCTAAATCTGGCAGCAACAGTTTGAAAGTGGGCTATAAATAAGAAAAACTAAGCCTTGTGATAAAAAAGTAGATATGAAAAAATAAAGTAGCAAGTTTTACTTTACTTACTTATATTAATAAGTAAGTAAAATAACAACATATTTTCTTCTCCATAATAAATTTCACATATTGTAACATATTATTCTAACAAAAAAGAACCATTCGGATATATAGGAATAGTCTGAGCTATAATATCTATTGGCTTTCTAGGCTTCATCATATGAGCCCACCATATATTCACAGTAGGTATAGATGTAGATACACGCGCATACTTCACATCAGCTACCATAATCATTGCCATCCCTACTGGAGTAGAAGTCTTTAGTTGACTAGCTACGCTACATGGTGGTAATATTAAATGATCTCCTGAGATACTATGAGCTCTGGGTTTTATCTTTCTTTTCACCGTAGGTGGGCTAACAGGAATTGTATTAGCCAACTCATCATTAGACATTGTCCTACATGACACGTACTACGTAGTAGCCTATTTCCATATGTTTTATCAATAGGAGCAGTATTTGCTATTATAGGGGGCTTTATTCACTGCTTCCCACTATTCTCAGGTTATACACTTGACCAAACTTATGCTAAAATTCATTTTTTATATATTTGTGGGCGTAAACATAACTTTCTTTCCACAGCACTTTATTGGCCTATCCGGAATGCCTCGACGATATTCAGATTACCCCGATGCGTACACTATGTGAAATATTGTCTCATCCGTAGGCTCATTTATCTCACTGACAGCAGTTATTCTAATAATTTTTATAATCTGAGAAGCCTTCTCCTCAAAAGGAAAAGTTTTAAGCATTGAGCAAATATCTACCAACCTAGAATGGCTCTACGGCTGCCCCCCTCCTTATCACACATTTGAAGAGTCTACTTATGTAAAAGCTCTAAACGAAAAAGGAAGGATTTGAACCCCCAAAAATTGGTTTCAAGCCAATCCCATAGATCCTATGACTTTTTCAATAAGATGTTAGTAAAATAATTACATAACTTTGTCAAAGTTATAGACCAAAAATCTATATATCTTAGTGGCAACACCAGCTCAACTAGGCCTACAAAACGCTACATCTCCCATTATAGAAGAACTTATTGCCTTTCATGATCATGCCCTTATAATTATTTTCCTAATTAGCTCACTAGTCCTATACGTTATTTCCCTAACACTTACTACAAAATTAACTCATACTAGCACTATAAATGCTCAAGAAATCGAAATAATCTGAACCATCCTACCCGCGATCATTCTTATTATAATTGCTCTTCCATCCCTACGTATTTTATATATAACAGACAAATTTAATAAACCCTACTTAACCCTTAAAGCAACTGGACACCAATGATGCTGAAGCTATGAATATTCAGACTACGAAGACCTAGCCTTTGACTCTTATATTATACCAACCTACTTCCTTGAACCCGGCGAATTCCGACTTCTTGAAGTAGATAATCGAACAACTCTACCGATAGAAGCAGATATTCATATGCTAATTTCATCACAAGACATCTTACACTCATGAGCCGTTCCATCGCTAGGCATTAAAACAGATGCAATCCAGGACGCTTAAACCAAGCCATACTAGCTTCCATACGACCAGGACTATTTTATGGGCAATGCTCAGAAATTTGCGGATCAAATCACAACTTCATACCTATTGTCCTAGAATTTATTTATTTCCAAGATTTCGAAGTATGAGCCTCATACTTATATATCATATATCACTGTAAAGCTACCTAGCATTAACCTTTTAAGTTAAAGACTGAGAGAACACCTCTCTCTACAGTGAATGCCTCAACTAGATATTTCACCATGACCAATGGTGATTCTATCAATAGTTGTAACCCTCTTTTATATTATTCAACTAAAAATACTGAATTTTACTTTCCACATTACTCTACCATCAAAATTAACTAAAACACAAAAACATAAAACAACTTGAGAACTAAAATGAACCAAAATCTATTTACCTCCTTCAGTATCCAGATAATCTTAGGAATCCCCCTAGTAGTATTAATTATTTTATTTCCCACTACACTAATTATACCCTCTAACAACCTAACCAATAACCGATTTTCCCCCCTTCAACAATGACTAATTCAACTTACACTAAAACAAATAATAATAGCTCATTCCATTAAAGGACGAACCTGATCCCTTATACTTCTAGCTCTAATTACCTTCATCGCCCTAAACAAACTTCTTGGGCTTACACCCTATGCATTTACACCCACTACTCAACTATCAATAAATCTAGGTATAGCAATCTGTGAGCAGCAACTGTGCTCATAGGACTTCGATTTAAAACAAAAGCATCCCTTGCCCATTTCCTACCTCAAGGAACACCTAACCCTCTTATTCCTATATTAATTATTATTGAAACAATTAGCCTTTTTATTCAACCAGTAGCACTAGCCGTATGACTAACAACCAACATCACAGCAGGCCACCTATTAATAATACATCTACTCGGAGATACTGCACTAACTCTTCTATCTATCTATCTCTCCTCTTCTGTAATTACTATTATCGTTACCATTTTATTAATCACCCTCGAATTAGGTGTGGCTCTAATCCAAGCCTATGTTTTCACACTTCTAGTGAGCCTCTACCTACATGATAATTCATAATGACACACCAAACACACGCTTATCACATAGTCAACCCAAGTCCCTGACCACTAACAGGAGCCCTATGAGCTTTTCTATTAACCTCCGGCCTAATTACATGATTCCATTTCCACTATACCCTCCTCCTTACTGCAGGATTATTAGCTAGTGCAATAACAATATTTCAATGATGATGTGATGTAGTACGAGAAAGCACATATCAAGGCCATCACACTATACCTGTTCAAAAAGGTCTACAATATGGAATAATCCTATTTATCATTTCAGAAGTCTTCTTTTTCACTGGTTTCTTCTGAGCATTCTATCACTCTAGTTTAGCACCAACCCCACAAACAGGAGGACATTGACCTTCTACAGGTATCTTCCCCCTTAATCCAATGGAAGTACCACTTTTAAATACAGCTGTCCTACTCACATCAGGAGTCACAATTACTTGAGCACATCATAGCCTAATAGAAGCTGACTGAGAAGAATCAGCTCAAGCACTATCCATAACTATCGCACTAGGAATCTACTTTACCTATCTACAAATATCAGAGTACTTTGAAACTTCCTTTATTATTTCTGACAGAATTTACGGCTCCACATTCTTCACAGCTACAGGCTTCCATGGCCTCCACGTTATCACTGGAACCACTTTCCTTGCCCCATGCTATATTCGCCAACAACTATATCATTTCACATCCAACCACTGTTTCGGTTTTGAAGCCGTCGCATGATACTGACATTTCGTAGATGTAGTATGACTATTCCTCTATATTTCTATCTACTGATGAGGATCCTATTCTCTTAGCATAAACAGTACCACTGACTTCCAATCAATAGGCCTCGATAAGCTCAAGAGAGAATAATTAATCTAGCACTAATCCTAATAACTAATATTCTACTAGCCTTACTATTAATTACCATTACATTTTGAATACCACAATTAAATTTATATGCAGAAAAATATAACTCCTACGAATGTGGATTTGACCCTACAACCTCTGCCCATCTGCCTTTTTCTATAAAATTTTTCCTAGTCGCTATCACATTTCTTCTTTTTGATCTAGAGATCGCCCTACTACTACCCCTGCCATGAGCAACCCAAACAAATAACATAATACTAACCATCAATATAATTCTAGTTCTACTTATTATTTTTGCACAAAGGTTAGCCTACAAATGAACCCAAAAGGGATTAGCTTGAATTGAGTTGGTATGTAGTTTAATCAAAACAAATGATTTCGACTCATTAGATTATGATAAATCATATATACCAAAGTGCCTTTCATCTACATTAATACCGTACTAGCATATATCTTTACTAGGATTATTAATCTATAGATCTCACCTAATATCATCTCTACTATGTTTGGAAGGCATAATATTATCACTGTTCATTATAGCAACACTCACAACCTTAAATATATACCTAATATTAATATGTATAATACCTATTATTCTACTAGTATTCGCCACATGCGAAGCTGCAGTATAGGTTTAGCCTTATTTAATTTCTAATCTATATGGCTTAGATTATGTGCAAAATTTAAATCTACTTCAATGTTAAAAATTATCCTACCAACAATCATGATATTTCCAATATGACTTTCAAAGAGCCATATAATATCAATTAATATAATAACCTGCAGCTTATTAATTAGTGCTTTTACCCTTATACTCCTATATCTACCAAATAGTTCATGTAATTTATCACTACTTTCTTCTCAGACCCATTAACATCACCTCTCCTAACCCTAAAAACCTATTACCACTAATGATCTTAACAACACAACAGCACCTCTACAACAATTCCCTCCCACGAAAAAAACTATATATCTCAATATTAATTTTCTTACAAATCTCCCTAAACATAACATTTACAGCTACAGAACTAATCCTATTTTATATCCTGTTTGAAACTACCCTAATCCCCACCCTAGTTATTATCACCCACTGGCGGTATCAACCAGAGCGCCTCAATGCTGGCTCACACTTCTTATTCTACACACTAGCAGGATCTCTTCCACTACTTATTACACTCCTCTATCACTTAAGCAGCTTAGGATCCTTAAATATCCTAGTAGTAACAGTTAATACCAAAGAACTATTACTCTCCTGAACTAATAATGTTATATGGTTAGGGTGTATAATAGCCTTTATAGTCAAAATACCCCTGTACGGACTTCGTCTATGACTACCCAAAGCCCATGTCGAAGCCCCAATTGCTGGCTCAATAGTACTTGCAGCAGTCCTGCTAAAACTGGGTGGCTACGGCATGATACGAGTTACCCCATCCTTAATCCCCTAACAGAAAAAGTAAGTAACCCTTTCCTGATTTTATCTCTATGAGATATAGTTATAACAAGTTCTATCTGCTTACGACAAGCGGACCTAAAATCACTCATCGCCTACTCTTCCGTTAGCCATATAGTACTCATTATCTTAGCTATCCTCATTCAAACTCCCTGAGCTTTACTGGCGCAATAATCCTAATAATTGCCCATGGATTTGCTTCATCTCTACTACTCTGCCTGGCAAACTCAAATTACGAACGAATTCACAGCCGAACTATAATATTCACCTGAGGCCTCCAAACACTATTCCCACTCCTGGCTCTCTGATAACTTCTAGCAAACCTTGCCAATCTCACCTTGCCCCCAACTATTAACCTGGTAGCTTCTTAAAATCTTAGCCTCCTTCTCTTGATCCAACTTTACCATTGTATTTACAGGTTTCAATATACTAATTACAGCTCTATACTCACTATATATATTTACTTCAACACAGCAAGGGCCATTAACATATAGTACTAGCAATGTAAGACCTCTATTTACATGAGAAAATACACTAATACTAATACATATGGCACCAATCCTCCTCCTCACCTTAGACCCCAAGATGGTTATAGGGCTAACACCCTGTAGCTATAGTTTAACCAAAACATTAGATTGTGAATCTAATAATAGAAGATTGTAACTTCTTAACTACCAAGAAAGTATACAAGAACTGCTAACTCATGCCCCCAAGCCCAACAGCTTTGCTTTCTCAACTTTTAAAGGATAGTAGTTATCCATTGGTCTTAGGAGCCAAAAACATTGGTGCAACTCCAAATAAAAGTAAAAATGCACTCCTCCATCACTCTAATAATACTGATCCCCCTACTAGCACCCACCATAATTACTTAAATTAATCCCGACAAAAACCTCTTGTACCCACATTATGTAAAACTAGCCATTATTTATGCCTTCACCATTAGCATCCTATCCATAATAGTATTTATTTTTACAGGCCAAGAATCAATAATTTCAAACTGACATTGAATAACAATCCAAACTACTAAGCTATCACTAAACTTTAAGCCAGATTTCTTCTCCATAATAAATTTCATATATTGTAACATATATTTTGCATGTGATCCCAGCACACTGCAACCTCCACCTCCCGGGTTCAAGCAATTTCCCTGCCTCAGCCTCCAAAGTAGCTGGGACTACAGGCATGCTCCACCATGTCCGACTAATTTTTTTTTTTTTTTTTTTTTTAGTAGAGGCAAGGTTTTACCATGTTGGCAGGGCTGATCTTGAACTCCTGGCCTCAAGTGATCCACCCGCCTCAACCTCCCAAAGTGCTGGGATTATAGGCATGAGCTACCGCACCTGGTCCTAGGCTTTATCACTTTAAAAGAAGGCTAAATTCATTCTTGTGGGATGGTTTTTCAACTGCTAGTGAAATTTTTTAACTCAAAAATGATCTGAAGCAATAGTATAATTCTATTTTTGCTCATTCCCAAAAAGAGTTAAAAATCCCAATGAGGTTTTAAATGGCTCCAAACATGTTGCTTATTTAGGCAGATTAATTTGATATTTTAATCAATTGTTTCATCATTT